ATCTCAGTCAATGTGTCGGTCATTTTGAACCCTCGCAAAAATAACAATATTTCGTTGATGTATATTGATCATACCAAGTTACATTAAATTATTGAAAGGAATATACCCTTTTCTATAGACACATGGATGGAGGATGCGGAAGGCGGTGAATGGTCTAACATGTACGCTATATAGATCAAAAGATGATCTGTCGTTGATAGGGTGCCCCGTGCAGCGAAAATTTTCACTATAGAAAGTTGAACTCGGCACGGCGAATGTGCACGCTTCAGTGGTTTGTCTCGAAGTGATTTCTAGTTAATCATGCAGTACGATAACACTCAGCGCTAGAGTCTATAAATAGCGATCGCACGTGAAATTCTCTATACATCTATCAACTATTACAGCCGTAAAAAATCTATTGTTGACGATTCTGAATTGCAGTAATATTTAGCTTTTTGGCTATTACAGCAGCTTCAGTAATTACGTTCGTTTTATCTTTTAAATTGCTTTATGATTAACTATATAGTTAGGAGCGGCATCTTTTGGTTTAGTACAATTACATCCCACTTCTACCTCGTTGCCAGTGGCAACCTTTGATAAAACTGTTCTGTTTATTTCCAATACAAGCATAAAACTATCCGTGTATCAGAAATGAACAGTACGTACTGTTCATTTCCGACAAACACTTTTATACAGGCAGGATGAAAACAAACGCCTAGAAAGTCATAAATTTTATTACAAATAAATCTCAACGGACGAACCATCCACCGATGCACACTTCAGCAGGATTGACCCTCGTTGTGCCGCGACAATCACTGATAAAGATGACATCGCTGCGACTTCATGAGCAACAAATATTAACTTTTTTCCTCCGACAAATTAAATTCTAAAAACAATTTTATGCATTAGAAAAATAAATAAAGACTTTTGAAGTATTTGTGTAGGCAAAAATTATTTCCATTTTTAGTTTAGTGTAAATGCTTATTAAAATGAGTAAAAGGCACCATTCTACTCGAATCAGTTGTAATGTCTTATGTAAACAATGCACGCGCCATTGAGCCAATGATTGACGCCGCGTGATATGAAATGAAATGAAATAAAATGGGGTTTAATGTCCTACTGTTCTGCTCCTAAACTGGGCTAATGAAGACGGGCATACACCATACAGTGTGCTATGATGGAAATTTTGCCCGGGCAGCGGCACTACGGTCTACTCTTATATCGAATTCCAACTGCCAAGGGATCTTTTACGTGCACGCCTATGTGTACACGGGACCTCGGTTTTTCATTCCATCCGAACGACTAGACAGCTGTCCTTGTCAGGCCCTCCGTCCTGCATAACTGACAAGGGGAAACCACGCTGGAAAATCTGGATGAACTTGCTCGGCAAATGCAGGGATCGAACACCCGACCTCCAGGCTAGCGAGCCAGCGTCTTACCCACTTAGCCACGTGACCCCCCCCCCCCGCCCGCGTGATATGACATCATGTATTAAGGCAGTCATCTTTTACAGAGATATTAGATGAGTTTCGTAATACTCTGTGAAACAGATTGGTACGGAGGGTCTGGGACCGTTGTCAATATTTGACAAAAGGTTCCATTGCCGTGCGTAACCAGGAGCTTGATTTTTAATGTGGTTGTTTATCCAGTATCTTTGGTCAAGTCAAGTAAGAGTGTTGCCCCTTCCCGCAATAAATCCCACTATTCTTGCATTAATATAAACAAACATGAATCGTGACGATTAGGATTAATTTAAAAAAAACATATATATGGCCCATGAAGAGAGAAAGTTTATAATAAAAAACAATAAGAGTGTTGGATATTGAACTGGCAATGGAATCAAATGGATTTTTTTAAATGACATTCTTAAATTGATTTCATTAGCGTCAACGTCTTGTTTTAAGACTAGTTACCTCCCTTAGACTTTGTCTATGATAATATAAAAGACCGGATAATCTAGCAGATGACCTATTTTTCACAACTGTTTACAACGCATCCAGTAAGCATCCAGACTAATAGTCGTAGAATATTTTTCTGGGTGATAGAGACTAGTGGACTGGTTAAGCGAGACTAATTTCAAAACAAGGGCACGTAACCCATGTTGTTACTCAAAAGTTCCCGGATGTTATGGCCGACACTCGTAACCATTTTTCAGTCTATTATTCATGGATGGTTAAATGGCCATAGCTTATTAAGTGCAACATGACCGTTTATTTCGTGCCTATAAATGTGCGAAACTGATTTAAGGCTTGGTATATATATATATATATATATATATATATATATATATATATATATATATATATATATATATATATATTTGTGTAATTGTCGAGATATTTGGAGATATTTATTTATGGTGGGGCACCCTATCGTTGAGTTAAGTGGTGTGGTGTCGAGACCACGCTTGTACGGGACAGGAAGCAGGGTTGCCTGTCAAACCTCGTGGGTTTCATTCGGGACCAATTGTTGAAATAAAATTGTTTTAAATGGACGTTAAATCTAATTTTTCTCTCCCTCTCCCTTTTTCGCCCTCTCTATAGGAACAGATATAGTTAACGTTGCTATCGGTAAGCCCACGACCTCTGAGAGTATCTACAAGTTCTACTACCCTCCCGAAAGTGCAAACGATGGAATTAAGAAAACATATTTATGCACCAAAAGTAGCAGTACACCTTGGTGGCGTGTTGATCTACAAGACATTTACACGATTAAGAAGATTGTTATGTACAATAGAGACTATTCTGCTAGTGAGTATATTATTTAATATTTAAATTCAGGGATGTGCTCGGAAATTAGAGCAGCAGTGGAGACAACGGCAAGTTTGGTGTGAGTTCTTGGGGATTAACCAAGATTTCTTAAAAGCAGAAGATCTGAGGCACCTGTAACGTGAAAAATATTTCAAAAAAAGCATTAAGCTATCCCTAAGTACATGTATATGTTTAATTTCTTCAGTCCTTGTTCGTAAGCGATATTATCAAATAACTGGTCTTATTCCAATTTCTAATTCAGGGGCAAAAAACTTGTCTGAAACCGATTCTCTTTCAGTAGATATAATAATACCAAGGTGAGAAACGGGTTGGAATTAAATAATTGGGGTCAAATTCACTATTCTAGATTCCGTCAACTAGTGGCAATATTCACTAAATTTCGCTAGGTAGACAATCGAGTCTTCGATGCCTTTTTAAAATTATCCACTCGACCCTCTTTAAGTCAAGTGGACAATTTGTAAACATTGCCCCGGAATTAGAAATTGGAATCAGACCAGTTATTTGATTATCTCGCTTACGAACATAGACGTAACAGACTTTAGACATATATTTAGTCATAGTTTGATGTTATTTTTGAAATATTTTCCACGTTACAGGCGCTTTGGGTCATGGTGGCTAAGTTGGTAAGACACTGACTCGCTAGCCTGGAGGTCGGGTGTTCTCTCCCTGCATTGGCCGAGAAAGTTCATCTTGATTTTCCCACGTGCCCCCCCTCCCCCTTGTCAGTGATGCAGGACGGAGGGACTGACAAGGACAACTGTCTAGTCGTTCGGATAGGACGAAAAACTTAGGCCCCGTGCACATATTTGCGTGCACGTAAAAGATCCCTTGATAGTTGGAATTCGATATTAAAGTATGCCGCTGTCAGGTGAAAACTACCCTCATAGCACAATGTATGGGGTATGCCCGTCTTCGTTAGCCCAGGTCGGAGCAGAGCAGTAGGATGTTAAATCCCACTGCATTTCATTTCATTTCCATCGAAAGTATAAAAAAAACGAAACGAAATATAGATCTGTATTTTAATCAGATTGGTTCTATGCATCATATCCAAAATTTAAACGATCTCATAAAAGACTAGACGAATATGAAAGTATGTTCTAAAGCCGAGGATGCTGATGAATGTTTAAGACTGCAGTACGTATAAGAACAGGCTATGAATATACACCTTAGATTTTGAGGCCATATAGACTTCAGCCTACCAAGCATATAGGTAATTCCGGCACAGACCTCACCCCGGTAAATCCGGCACTGATTTCAATTATATTTAACCATGTATGATTGTAAATAAATTTCTATATTTGTTTTTATATTTTCTTATTATTTTTATAATTTCTTCTTATTATTTATTATAATTTCTTATTATTATTTATTATAATTTCTTCTTATTATTTATTATAATTTCTTATTATTATTTATTATAATTTCTTTTATTATAATTTCTTATTATTATTTATTATAATTTCTTATTATTATTTATTATAATTTCTTATTATTATTTATTATAATTTCTTATTATTTTTATAATTTTTATATTCTGTTATAATTTTTATATTCTGTTATAATTTTTATATTCTGTTATAATTTTTATATTCTGTTATAATTTTCTAAATTTTGATATAATTTTCTATATTTTGAAATGATTTCTATATATTGTTATAATTGGGGGGGGGGGGTATGTCGTGGGTTATCTCCGGGTCCTAAGGTGTCCTCTCACTGCTAAAAAAAATCCCTGCGTTCAAGCGAATTATTGATATAAAATTGAATGATATGTTAGTCCCGAAATGACCTAGTTTGTGTATTGTTATAATTTTCTATAACATTTTGTTATAATTTCTATAATATTTTGTTATAATTTCTATAATATTTTGTAATAATTTCTATAATATTTTGTTATAATTTCTATATTTTGTTATAATGTCTATGTATTATTATAATTTCTATATTTTGTTATAATGTCTATGTATTATTATAATTTTCTATATTTTTGTCTATACTTTTATATTTTGTTACAACTTTTATATTTTGTTACAACTTTTATATTTTGTCATAATTTTATATATGTATTTTGTTATAATTTCTGTATTTTGTTATAAATTCTATATTTTGTTATAATTTCTATATTTTTGAAAATAATATTTTATTATTATTATTATTTTTATTAGCCTTTGACAGAATTAAAGGATTTCACATCAAAGTGACTGACAGCGGATCACATTCATATTCACAAGCTAGACTTTGCTACACAGACACGTCGAGTTCCGGTTCCGCCAAGTATGAGATCAACGGATGTAATAACGGCGGGGCCTTTTCTGGAAGATATGTTTTTGTGGTTAGATCCAGTGAATATCTACATTTTGGCGAATTTGAAGTTTATGCCGGTAAGTGACGGACCATGTGAAGATCACAAGCGCTGTTAAAATCTGAGAATGTTTTATGATATTATTGCTGAAAACCAACATGTATTTGATATTTAATAGTGAGATACGTCGGCAGTAGGGATCATTATCTGGCTTTCACGAAGATAGTTTTACTGCCTAGTTCTAGTTTTATTGTAATTTCCGTAAACACTTTCCAACACAAACATGCAGTAATGTGTTCTCTGTTGAAAAATTTTTTTTTTATATAATTTCGACAAAGAAAGTCAAATATTAAACACCACCGCCTCTAGCTTCGTTGGGCCACCGCATGGGTTCTGTTCAGACAATCGAATTTTAGTTGAGTTAACCGAATGGTTATCTTTCCGCGTTAAAGTAGAGAGTGTGGCTTTTTACTTTGAAAGCAAATGTGTCGAAGTTTGTGTATGACAAATTATTTTTGGGATCAAACCGGTTTTAAACAAGTTTTGTAATTTTCAATCATGGAGGTCATCATAGTCTTAAGATTTAATTTTATTCTTAAATAGAGTACTCTAATGTGGCACTTAACAAACCCCCGGTTATCAGTAGTACAGTTTGGGGTCCAGATGGTTACACTAATGGGAACGATGGTGATTATAGAACCATAACAACGGCCAAGGGTTCCACTGCATGGTGGTGTGTCAATCTAAAGACGCTTTTTAATATAGAAAAAATTATAATCAATAATAAAGACACAGATCACAGTAAGTTATTAAATTTAATTATAAGAGTTATTACAATCTAATTATAATTATAAAAGTTATTACAATCTAATCATAACATTTATTACAATCTAATCATAACATTTATTACAATCTAATTATAACAGTCATTACAATCTAATTACAGCAGTCAATACAATTTAATTATAAGAGTTATTACAATCTAATTATCCAGTTAAACGTTTATTTCCTCTGGACCAGTGTAGATGGGCATGAGTCATACAGTGTGCTATGAGGGAGATTTTGCCTGGACAGTGGCCTACTCTTATTTCGAATTGCAACTGTCATAACCCATATATTGTAGTCGATATAATATGAGGTGGCGTGTCTTATTTTGACATTTCCAATGTTGTTGAAACAATCAATAGTTCAAATGTTTGATAAAATGCGTGATTTGTCTGTTATTGGGATATGTCTCATCGCCTCTATTATTTTTATGTTTAACTTTCACAGATATATTTATTTTTTCTCCTATTTTAAGCTATGAACAACCTAAACGGCTTCAGGATTAACCTGGGCTATACTGATGATTGTACTGCTTTTAGTTCATCGACCCCCTGCTACCGTGATTCAACCGGGGTTCAGAGGACATATACAGTATCTGGTTGTAACCAGGGTAAGATTGAATTTGCCGGTCAGACAGTTTTCATCTCCAACCCAAATCTCATATCCTTTCGAGAAATGCAGGTTTTGATAAAAGGTAAGCAAAAATATATATACAAAAGGACAAACTAGTGTTACAGGTCTAGTAAGTATAATATCGAAACTCTGAAATGAAACGGGGATTAACGGTCTGCTTTTCTGCACCAACCGGTCTTATGAAAATAGGCATACGCCATACAATGTGCTCTTAAGGAAATTTTGCCTGGACAACCATGCTTCTGTCCACTCTTTATCGAATTCTACTTGCCAACGGTTGTTTTGCATGCATTCCAACGTGTACAAAGACTTCGGTACTTCGTCCTATCCGAACAACAAGGCGCCGTTTCTTGCTAGAGCTTCCTTCCTGCACAACTAACAAAGGGAAACCACGCTGTAAAGTTTGAGGAACTGTGTCGAACCGAGTCAGTACTTTAGTCACTGAGCCACCCTACACTCCTTGTCACGTATGCCCTATCGGCAAATACCCCAACACAGAACGCAAAGCGCGTCATTACTCCCCTTCACATAAGTTCTGGAATCTGACTGATCAGCTTAGTCATAATCATTATCTAAGAAGAGGGGGAAATGGTGGTTCTGGACTAACATATGGTTGAATATATTTCAATAATTTGTTTGCGAAGTAAACCGGAAGACCAGGAGAAAACATTCGTTGTCACGCCACTTGACTCAATGATAGACCTAATGATTTCACGCGCACGCTTTAAACCACTTACCCCCCCCCCCTCCGCTAAACTCAAACGCACGTCCAAGTAAACGTCCGGTCAAGTTGAATTAATTACATGAGTTTTATTTCTACTTTTTATGTTGATAAGAGCCCACAAATCTTGCCCATGGAAAAGGTATTGTACAGTCGAGCACTGCTGGCAACCTGGCTGCAGATTTAGCGATAGATAGTGATCGTGCCACGTGTAGTAGTACGAATAGCGAGGCAGCCGCTTGGTTGTGTGTTGATCTAGAGAGGTACTACGAAATTAGCATCATTTCCTTAGCTCAACAATCCCAAGGTACGTATTTCCGCAATGGCTGCGAGGCCGCCATGCTTGTTTCCTGGATTATAATCGTACTTTTAGTCATACTTTTAGTGTGTATACTTTCTTTTGGATATCAATATATAATTCTGCGGGCTAATGATTTCCGCTCACTTTTATTGTTAAAATAACGTCAATTTCTCTTCAATCTTTATAAATTATTTCCAAAAATTTCAAGAACAATTTGGCAAAATTAGCAAATTTACTGAATAGTAATATATATTGTGGACATTGTACTAATTTAAAAGATCAATATTTTGCTAAAAATTAAAAGAGAAAGTGAAGGTAGAGTAGAGATAGAAACACTGCGGTCGAGATGTCAATATGTCAAATTTAAATTGTTCTGTCATTTTTATTAAACAATAAATATTTAGGTGGGAAAATTTAATAATATTTGTGCAAGTTTTAAAATAGTTGGACACAGATTTATTGATGCAATAACATAGTGAACATCCGGGTATTTACGTTCAAACTCCCAGGAACTAACATGGCCGACACGGTCCCATTAAGGCACACTGTCATGTGATGTGATCAGTATGGACTCTAGTTTCTATATAACTCGGTCGTACTTGTTGTGTTTACATTACATTTCTGAATTAAAGAAATGAAATGAAATGAAACCTGGTTTAACTTCCTGCTGTTCTGCTAATACTGGGCTAATGAAAACGGGATTGTGATATGCAGTGTGCTATGAGGTTATTTTTGGCAGGACAGCAGAGCTATGGCCTATTCTGATATTGAATTCCAACTGCCAAGGGTTCTTTTACGTGCATGCCAATGTATACAAGATACCTCGTTTTTGTCCCATCCGAAAGACTAGACAACTGTCCTTGTCAGGCCCTCCGCCCAGCCCTACTCACAAGAGGAAACCACGCCGGAAAATTCAAAGCATCTTTCCTTGCCAACACCAGGAGCGAATCCGAGAAGTCTAGGCTAGCGAGCCATCTTTTCGACTAGATACTGTTAAATTCCTTGCCAGACCCTCTGCCCTGCACCATTGGTATAAAGGGAAACCTTAGTTAGTGAGTCAGTGTTCCACAAGGATTTGCATTTGGTCCATTTAACGTCATTTAACATTTGTTTGATTACAATTTCAGCATTTGAAGTAAGGTTGGGCACAGAGAGTAGTTGCAGTGCTGAAGGCTTCAAATCCTCGGTCTTATGTTCAAGTGAAGCAGCTTCTGAAAATGTCTTTATCGGTAAATGCTCGTCTAGCACAGTACCGCTTGCAGCCAGATCAGTTTATTTGGTAGCAAGGAATAATAAAATAGCAGTCTGTGATCTCAAAATCAATGGAGGTAATTATATTAGTTACATTTACAGAAGGTTGGGTGACAAAGTTTCCCAACGCATGCGCTGTAGGCCTGTTGTCTATATTAGTAAGTGCAGGAACCAACAAGACAAACCTGCGGACAAGGCAAACTATAAAAGCATTGCAACAAATATCAAATCAAGTGAATGGATCAAGGGGCCAGAATTAGGCGTCCATTGCGTTTTACAGTCCCGGGTCTGTAATGATACAGACTTCACTATGCAATTCGTCAGTTTGATGTCGGGTTTATATGTGACGGGACCCCTTCCAAACCGTCACCCTCGCGACTAGAGAAAGAAAAATGAAGTTGTGTTTTAAACCCAATTTAGTAAAATCAAGAATGACGACGGGCATTTAAGATTGCAGTGCGTGAAAGAAAGGCTTATGACAAGGTAAATCCGGCATTGATCTATCATATAGAATTATATCAATACAGGTCAACAAAATATGCTTTTCATTTATAATTATTTTATTTTCAGATGAGATCTTTAGTGATTGTTTTGCAGCTTAGTAAATTTAAACTGTTGGGAACTGACCAAACATATGCATATTAAAGTTGAGATTTAACAAAACTCCTGAGATCTATACTAAATATAAGTTCACGTTTCTAGCAAAGATTTTTGTTTTGTGTTGTCGACGAAATTAGAGGATTTGATGCATTGGGCATGGACGAGGTGGCCCGGAACAAGATACGAGGCCTCGTATGGCGCCGCCGATCCGGTTATTTAGTCAATCATACTGACATTTTCGCCCATAAAATTAGTCAAGATGATACTTGGGGGTGAGGGTTACCGCCGGCCTGGCGTCCATCGGTGGTGATTAGGAGGTTATCACACTCTCTCAAATTCTCGGGATGTTTAGTCAGATCCAGTTTCTTCATTTGCACTACTCCCTTGCGTGCGCAGTGGCGACCAGCCATGTCGCCTACCATTTTGTTTAAGGGTTTTTGTCCACGCAGTGTAAAACCAATTGAATATATGTTGCGGTTTTCGATATCGGTCAAGGCACGCCATAGTTAATACCATTAGTAATCAGAACAATGAAAAGTAATTATTAAGATTCACACATCTTATCTCTAGACAATATGTGTTAATGCTTGTTACCTAAACCTTATATCATAATATACTTGTCTAAGACAAGCCGGCTATACATTGTTTGAGTAACCCATTATATCTTACTTAATACTATGAAATAACCCTCACACACCTGATGCAGATTACATTTTACAATTAATCTGTCACATGTCCAAAATGAGTTACAAATGAAAAATATAATTTAAAATATGAATTCAAAATACAATAATAAAATTTAGATCCCAAATGATATTGTATTACAGCTATGATGACAATTTTGCGCGGACTGCAATTGGATTCTAAATGTCAATGGTTCTTTTACATGCATGCCCAAACTGATCAGTAGTGAAAATTCGCTCACAGTATTACCCTTTATCCGGCTGCAAATTAAATTCTAAAATATTTTTTGAAGTATTTAGTGTAAATGGGTACATACAATAGTACGCGAAGGCGTAACAAGTCACTTCCGAACGACAAGGCGTCTTTCCTTGTCACGGCGCCAGTATTGCACCACTAGGAAACCACGCTGGAAATTCCTGGGAAACTTTCTCGGTCACCACCGGGATCAAACACGTAACTGCAGGGTTAGTGAGCTAGCGCCTTATTCACCGAGCCAGTGTGGCCACTAACCCGAAAGTAAATTAAACATGCATTATGCAAGAGCTAAATCTGCCTGTTGCAGGTCTTTCTTTAGGCCTGAAATGTTATATAGCTATGTGTCGGATTTTCACTGGATTTGAATCCGATCCGCTGCTTAACACTCAATGATTATTAAATCCTAAAATGGATAACCGAGACAATGTTTTTTATCGTAGCGACTTTAGTAATGATGATCGAGGCTAGGCTTAAAATTCAAAGGCTAATATCTCGGTTCAGAGTGGAGCAATTTGACTGGAATTTTCAACATATTCTATTTAAGTTATCTATTAACTATTATAGCGAGAACAGTCAACTCATTATCTAATCTCCCATAACGTATCTTTAATTAGATTGTCTCACTTTAAAGATGAATTATGCAAGATAATAAAGAGCTAGCCGTTCTTGCTACAATAAAGTTTAAAATTAGATAAATAAAAAAAAATGATTATTCTGAAAATATCAGTCAAATTACTCTATTCTGAGCGAATTTATGAGTGTGCAGTTTTATTAAATATCCTCAATTGTCAAATACCGGTTTTACGATAATAAAGAAAGTCTTGATTATCCATTTTTAAATTACTAAATGGTGATCGTGTTTCAATCCATTAAAGCCAGAAACAAGACCTGAATTAGGCATATTTAACTCTTACATAATGCATCTTTAAACAATCTCAGTCAATGTGTCGGTCATTTTGAACCCTCGCAAAAATAGCAATATTTCGTTGATGTATATTGATCATACCAAGTTACATTAAATTATTGAAGGATTATACCCTTTTCTATAGACACATGGATGGAGGATAGGGAAGGCGGTGAATGGTCTAACACGTACGCTATATAGATCAAAAGATCTGTCGTTGATAGGGTGCCCCGTGCAGCGAAAATTTTCACTATAGAAAGTTGAACCCGGCACGGCGAATGTGCACTCTTCAGTGGTTTGTCTCGAAGCGCTAGAGTCTCTAAATAGCGATCGCACGTGAAATTCTCTATACATCTATCAACTATTACAACCGTAAAAAATCTATTCTTGACGATTCTGAATAACAGTAATATTTAGCTTTTTATACGCCCACATTTTCATGTGGACGTTAATATTATTGTCGTCGCCCCTGTTTGTCCGTCCGTCCGTCAGTCCGTCCACAATTTGTTTGTGGACACACTACATGTCACAATTTTTATCCGATTTCAACAAAACTTGAAACATAGCTTTATCTCCCTAAGATCTCGGTTCCTTTCGATATTGGCATGTATCGGACCATAACTTCAAGGATTATGGCCCCTGATTGTACAAAAAATCGCATTTTTAGCTTGTGGACACTCTAGAGGTCACAATTTTGATCCGATTTTTATGAAACTTGAAATGAATGTTTATAACCCAAAGATCTTGGTTCCTTTCGATATTCGCGCATATCGGATCGTAACTTCCTGAATTATGCCCCCGGATTGTACGAAAAATCGCATTTTTGGCTTGTGGTTCCTCCAGAGGTTATAATTTTTATCCAATTTTAAAAACCGTTTTAGTATATCACCGTTACACCGTAATAAAGGTTGAGTTCGAATTTCGTGAAAATCGGCCCAAAACTGACAGACAAAATGGCCGCCCTTCGTTCTCAAATAGCGTAAAAATATGGTATAACAAGGTTGTGGACCCTATAGAGGTCACAATTTTTATCCGATTTTGTTGAAACTTGAAATGTAAGTTTATAACCCAAAGATCTCGGTTCCTGAATTAACTTCCTGAATTATGGCCCCTGATTGTATGAAAAATCGCGTTTTTAGCTAGTGGACCCTATAGAGGTCATAATTTTTATCCGATTTAAAAAAAAAACGTATTATTATATCACCGTTGTACCCTAAGGATGGCTGAGTTCTGATTTTGTGAAAATCAGCCCAAAACTGACAGACAAAATGGCCGCCCTTCGTTCTCAAATAGCGTAAAAAATAAGGTATATCAAGGTTGTGGACCGTATAGGGGTCACAATTTTTATCCGATTTTGTTGAAACTTGAAATTTAACTGAATTATTACCCCTGATTGTACTAAAAATCACATTTTTAGCTTTTGGACCCTTTAGAGGTCATAATTTTTATCTGATTTAAAAAAAACGTATTACTATATCACCGTTACACCCTAAGGATGGCCGAGTTCGAATTTCGTGAAAATAGGACCAAAACTGACAGACAAAATGGCCGCCCTTCGTTTTCAAATAGCGTAAAAATATGGTATATCAAGATTGTGGACCTTATAGAGGTCGGAATGTTAATCCGATTTTGTTGAAACTTGAAATGTAAGTTTATAACACAAAGATCTCGGTTTCTGTCGATATTTGCGCATATCGAATTGTAATTTCCTAAATTATGGCCCTTGATTGTAGGGAAAATCGCGTTTTTAGCTTGTGGACCCTATAGAGGTCATAATTTTTATCCGATTTAAAAATCGTTTTAATGTATCGTCGTTACACCCTATGGACGGCTGAGTTCGAATTTTGTGAAAATCGGCCCAAAACTGACTGGCAAAATGGCCGACCCTCGTCCTCCAATAGCGTAAAAATATGGTATATCAAAGTTGTGGACCCTATAGAGGTCACAATTTTTATTCGATTTTGTTGAAACTTGAAATGTAAGTTTATAACCCAAAGATCTCGGATTCTTTCTATATTTGGCATATCGAATTGTAATTTCCGGAATTATGGTCCTTGATTGTAGGAAAAATCACTTTCTTTTTAGCTTGTTCTCTATCCATCTCTCGAAAATGTGGGCGTATCCTGCCTGGCAGCCGCTGGTTGGTTATTACAGCAGCTTTAGAAATTACGTTCGTTTTTTCTTTTAAATTACTTTATCATTTACTATATAGTTAGGAACGGCATCTTTTGGTTTAGTACAAATAATATCTCTGAAACACTTGGGTTAGGCAAGAACATGATACTAGCAGTAGTTTCATGTTACTTCTACAAGGGGGGGGGGGGATCACGTGGCTAAGTGGGTAAGACGCTGGCTCGCTAGCCTGGAGGTCAGGTGTTCGATCCCTGCATTGGCCGAGAAAGTTCATCTAGATTTTCCGGCGTGGTTCCCCCTTGTCAGTGATGCAGGACGGAGGGCCTGACAAGGACAGCTGTCTAGTCCTTCGGATGAGACGAAAACCCGAGGTCCCGTGTATATATTGGAATGCACGTAAAAAAGTAGGCGATAGTGCCGCTGCCCGGACAAAATTTCCCTAATAGCACACTGTATGGCGTATGCCCGTCTTCATTAGCCCAGCATAGGAGCAGAACAGTAGGACGTTAAACCCCATTTCATTTCATTTACTTTACTTTTACAAGTTTTTTTTAAAACAATTGTAGAGTTGCCCAAGTTGCGTGTTTCTAAATTCAATTTCTTGTTCCAGGTTTCTGTTATGATCCGGAGTGAATATTCGCTAGGCCGCGACAATCACTGATAAAGATGACATCGATGCGACTTAAGGAGCAACAAATATTAACTTTTTTCCTCCGACAAATTAAATTCTAAAAAAAAATTATGCGTATGCCCGTCTTCATTAGCCCAGCAGTTTGCAAAAAATGTGGCATTACCTAAAATTTAAAATTATGATCATAAATATTACCACATTTCCACCAAATTTTAGACATTGGACTCCAAATATCTCCGAAAAGCCCCCGTTAACAACCCAGAATTGAAATCTACTCAAAAAACTGATGCCGGTTTTTCGCCCCATCTGAACGAATAACCCTCTATTAGCATGGGGAAACCAGATAGTAACTTAGTCGACCAACACTGGGGTCTAACCCGGTAACACCTGGCTAGTAAAAGTGGACGTGTTTAACAGGTTAAGTATGCTTGATGTGTATTATGTTTAGTTTTTCTCAGGGAGGTCCGGGATTCGCGTCAGTGGAGGA